ATGGGAGCACCAAGTCCAGCATCATGTTCTCATGATCAAGGTCCGAGTTAACAGGTTAGTAAATAGTATTAATGGAGCATCAACGTCATGGCATTTTGGGAATCCGATTGGGGACGACTGAGCGAACAGAAGCCCGGATTATTTCCAATCTTAGTTTCTTGGGTTCTCATCATACTTGTGGCACAATAAATGCCTTTACCCAAACACATCATTCTAAATATGAAGTCTCCCATATCAGCCCTTTATTATGTCCCATGCCCTCGCAGTGCGGCACAGCTCAACAGCTAAACAGGTGGAGGCGAGCAGCAAACTTGACACAGCTCAGGCTTTCGCAGGCAGTGCAGGAGCAGTTTGCCAAGCAGGCGAAGCTTCTGCAAGGCCTTGCTGTGCACCAGGGTTTGGGGGGGGGGGGGGGGNNTTGCACCAGGGTCCGGGGGGGGTCCTGGGTTCTTGCCAGGTCTTGCGAGACTCAACTTGCTAGTGGCCATGGTGCATATTGTGTTGGCAATTGCTGCTGCAGGAGTCCATGGTGTCGATGGTGGCTTTGGTGAGGATTGTAATGATGATTCTGGTGAGGTGCTGGTGGTGCTTAGAGTTGGGGGCGGCACACGGCTTACCGGTAATTTCTTTCTTCGGACATAGCAGAGCATTTCTGATCAAAGCCTTCGCTTCCTATCAGCCCTGTTTCTCTGTCGCTTGAAGAAGCTATGATGAGTGCGAGCGCCTTGCTGTTCGTGCTCTTTGCCGGCCATGCGCTCGCGGCTCCTTGGCTCCAAACAGTTAGAATTCTGCAGCCTCAAACACCACGCCCAGCTAAGCTTCTCAGCCAGCGTGAATATGAAACTCCATTCTACAGCTCCGGTTGGCAAGTAAGAAGGATCTGGCGCATGAACTGAATGGCATCATGTAGATTCATGTAGCAGGCATTGCGCACCGTCGGAAGATAGCAGAACAAGGAGAGACGCGCTTATAGGTGTAACGGGGTTCTCCATTGTAGTTCTAGCGACTTGACCATGCCGGCATTGCTGTGTCTTGAGCATGTAGCTTGGGGTGCAGAATCTCGGCCGAGAGTAGTTCGTGCAAAGGTAAGGAAGTGTGATCCCCACGTGCAGTTGGATGTTCTAACTCGCATGCAACACTTGGTCACTTGGAACAAGCTGGAGATATGCTGCTTCTTGTCAGACTGTTATTGGCGTTTCTGCTGCAAATCGCATTGAAATTGAAATGAAGGGCAGAGTCCTGAAGTTCAGCAAATGCCGCAGCCCAGGTTCGCCAAAACGGTCACAACGAGCCAGATCTGGCAGTACATGAAGCCCAACACGAGGAGATCTTGAAGGAGAAGGCAAGGGGAAGAGGAATTTTAGGCAACAGTCAGGGCGCGTTTCAGATTGCAACGACGATGACCCGGCATGCAAGGAATGATGACAGTAAAAATCAGCGAGAGTTGTCCACTCGGGTTTGATGCCAGCATTTTTGTCAGCTGGTCTCATGGGTTTTGGTTTAGGAATTGGTTTGAGACTGCACCTGCGAACTTTTGTTTGGGGTTTCCGTTGGGGGTGGTGGTCGTCGTGGGTTGCGATCGGGTTTCTGGAGCTCTTCGTGGTGCTGCGGCGTAGATGGGTTAGTCTCGAAAAGCAGACGCAAAGAAGCCGGGTACAGAAGCCCGGCAAACGAAGATGCTAACTGCTTCTGGGGCCTTCTAGTTGTTTGTGCGCTTCAACAGCTTCAAAGTCCGTTGCCAGATCGGAGATGTCGTCGACGCCGACGATAGTGAAGATACCGCATATGTGCTTCCGATGAAGCCTCGCCGACGGCCTGAAGCACGAGCAGAGAACTTGATGCCTGGCAGTTCTGCGATTCTACGGGCTCACCCGGCTTTTGACTTAAGTTCGGGGCAAAGGCCTGGGCTTCGGAAGGCTATGGCGGCTATGAGAGGCTTGCTTGTTAATAGCTTGCTGAATATGTGGGCTGGGCCCAAGCTCTAGGATCACGGTCAACAGTTCCAGCAGGACTTTGTGCATGTGACGGTGGGTTCTATCTTCAACCTCAAATCAGAGAGCATCTTGCGACTCCCTCAGCTCTACTAGGACTGCACCACAAACGATCTGGTTCCAAAGCCCTTCAGTTCGGTTTGAACTTACGGTTTTTTGTCAACCCTTCCTTTTTTTCTCGGATATCCGGAGCCTACCCTTCGAATCACCTTGAGACTTCGATTGCAAAGTCATGAACTCCCGGGCTTTTGGAAGCTGTTAAGATTCTGTGATTCTCAGCCTCAGCTCCTGCCCAACACTGACTGACCTTCAGATGGCGAAATATTCCAGAACTGCAGCCGTCCTCCTGGAAGCTCTTGAGGCTACACTCGAAACTCAAATCATCTCAAGATGTTACACCCTCAAACCTGGATCCTAAAAGTATCCTCAAATCCTGTGGCCAATAATTTCGGGTAGTCGTGGTGGTACTGATCCTCTTGCACCCTTTGTAGACTGCACTTTAACCCATCGACGTGTACAGAGCAGGCACGCCACTCCCGTAATTCAGGGCGACGGGGTGTTCGTGGGGTCGTTTGGGGGACTTTTGAACCTCCCGTGGCGGAGCCAGTGTCAGACGAGCACGGACCTACACTATTCGTCGCACAGCCTTTGTGTGCTGGTTGTTAAAATTCATTTTGCTTTCTCATCTCTTTGGGTTTTGCCCAGTACTCGGGGCTTCAAAGGTGCATCCCTACGCAGTTTTGCAAAGCAGCGCAGCCATCCTAAGCCTGCAAGGATGGAGCTGCAGGAGGAATCCCCTGCCTGCCCCCGCAGCAGTGAGGCGGGGCCTTCAAAGTTCGGGGTTTCCTCTTAGTTCTCCGGCATCTGGGATTTCGAGTTCTCTGCTTCACTCCCTCCCTGCAGGTCTGGTCGCCCACGGGCAGGACCTTGGGCCAAGGTGCCAATGGGAAGGTCGTTGAGGTCACTGGCTCAGGCCGGCCTTGCGTGGCTTTCTGTGTTTTTCCATGGCTTGGTGATCCTATAGCCAAACCTCGGCTAGGGCTAGGATCTAAAGCTTCACCGGCGTCAGCGGCGCGCGGCCTCTTCCAAAAATCTGTCAAAATGTTCTGGTCCATCAGTAGCCCGGCCTTTGAAGGTTGAAGAACTTCAGAGGCTCTGCCGGTAGTCATCGTTTGCTTGAGTGCCTTCCAGTCACGGACCACCGACGTTGCTGGTGATCCGCCTATGCATCCATGCCAGCATAGGCGGACAGATGCCTCGTCAGAAGAGCTTCAAAGACCCATGCCCTTGTGCAGAAGCCTCCTCCATGATGAAGGGAGCTTCGACCCCGAGCGGAACAATTATTGACAGCAGTAGTATAGGATTTTGGAGTTTAGCGTCAGAGGGAAGGGAGTTGCTCTAAGTCCACACCAAGATGAGTTTTCACGATTCAGAATTCCGACGACCTGCAACCCCACTAGACAAGGAACCCGATCACCACTGTTGTCATGAAGCGCATCGTGTTTTCGGTCAGAGCCGTCGCTTCGCAAAGTGCAAACAGCATTCTCGAAACGATAAGAGTAATAAAAGTCACAATTACCGCCACAATCCGACTTGCCGCAGGATTCCACAGACGTCATCGGATGAAGAAAAGTCATCATGTGATCAAACAGGTTTTCGCCCTGAAGGCCGAAGCCGGAACGTGAAGCCCGGATGCGCAGGCCACCACGGCCCCTATGCCCTCAAGGTGCCGATCAGCCGGGAAGCCGAAGATGATGCGGAGTTGGAGGCAAACCAATCTGAGCAAGAGCTTGGGATTCTGGCCGTGACGGCTTTGCTGTTATTGCAGTTCTTATTGCTGTTAATGAGCTCCATTACTATAGTCTCTGTTCGGAATTACTCACGCTTTTTGTTGTTGCAGAAAATGACGCCGGCAGAACTATTTTTGAGCCTCGCGTTTGGAGCCATGCGCTCTTTCTATTTATTTCTCTGTATTAGGTCTCCCTCATTGGGAGAACAATGAAGGCTCGTGTTTTTCGGGGGCCTGGCACCGAAGCCAATATGCCGGAATGGCACTCTTTCTCGTTCCTGGGTCTTCCTTTCGTAGGATCCTTCGGGGGGGATAGAACCTGGCGTAGAATGGAGACTCCAGGCTCACCAGGCACGAACACTTGACAGCTCGATGGGGGGGAATTCTTCTGTAGTAACGATTCAGCTAAGTTTTGACGAGCGTTGGTTAAGATGCAGCAAGTTCGGCAGACATCAGCAGATGATAGTGACAGTGCAAGTGACGGTTATCGAAGTTTCATTCAACCGGAAGTCTGGCTCTAGAAACGAGCAACAACTCAGCAACAACCGAGCCGAGGTCGCGGTAATGAAGTCTTCATCGAGTCAGCGCTGCGCCACAGCTGAAGGGTTCAGATGGAGCAATGGCAGGTTTGGGCCTTTGCGGCCTTGAGGGTGCGAGAGCGTGTTTCTGAGCTTGGGGATTCGATGGTGAATTCCGATTGTCTGCATCAAGCTCGCTGTCCTTGTGTGCATACTTACTCGCATCTTCGTGAGGGACTTGTGTCTGAACAACCTGGTAGAGATTATAATCCTAATCTCTCCGCGAATAGTGTGGGGTTCTTACGCTAGAGCCGCTAGAGAATCTATTCTAGAGATGTCTGCATACTCTCACGTCCTTGAGAATGCCAAGAAATGCAGTCTGGCTGCTCGAATTTCCTCACACCGACTACGGCTGAACTGATCAAGCCAAGCGTTCGACATCGGGAGAGCTGAGTCGTGAACCCCTTCCAACGTGAGCAACACAGCCTGCCCTGCAGCCTTTCGAAGCCCAGGAAGCATGTCCAAGTCTGGGGCTCTTGATGGCAGCAACAGCATCTACGTAGCAGCATCCTAAATGGGCTTTGCCAAGAGCCAGGTACGAACGTCATGCATCTGACGGCCGAAAAGCCCTGCGTAAAGGAAGGCGACCGAACAGACAAGATCGACGGAGGGTTGGAGGTTGTAAAGCTTGACGGTTTGGCCGCTTGCAGTTTTTTGGTGCTGGCGATGTACGGTTGAGATTATCTGGGCCCTTACACCCCCACCCGACCCTTCCACACCACCCTACAAGCACTGCGCGCAGCAGGCAGTTCGGATGAGAAAGTGAACAACAAAGCCTACGTTGCGCCGGAGATGGCTGGGGATTTGCTTCTTGGCTTTGTTTGTCCAAGGATCTGGAGCCCGGCAACATTTTTAAGAAACATGTACTGTAGCGCCTGGCCGACCATGCAACGAATACTCCCAACAGGCTCACTTGTTCTCGAAAAGCACAATGTCAAACTGCACGGTAACACAAAACGTAGCCTGAGTCTGGGAGTCACGGTTCAGGGTTTCGTGCGCTGCACATCAACAAAGCACAGTCCGCATCAAGCAGTGCGGCTGCCTACAGGATACGATTCAATCAGGCAGCGAGTTAGCGCAGTGGCCAAGACCAAAGAAGATGAGGACGACAGCAAGGCATGTTATGTTATCTTATTCTTAGGCCGATGCACCACGGGTGGCGAGTTTGGGATGGTACAGCAGCGAGTTGAAACAAGCACCACAATGTCAGCACCGAATCGTGCTTGCTCATCGAGATGCCCAGATCTCGTGTTCCGTTACCAACTCGTAAAGCTTGAATGCCCATTTCTGGCGAGTTTCGTGTGCGTTCCAGTTTTTCCGCATTCCATTTCCGCGCATGCAATTCAAAAGGGGAATGGAACCACGTTAACTTTGGAAATTTTGGAACATTGGAGAAGCCTGCTTAGAAAGAACGTCTAAGGGACCGTTGGCTCAAACAAGCTCGCACTACGCAGAGGTGTCTTGCCTGCATCAAGCGGAACGGAGGTTCGGTTGTTCAGGGTGCTGAGTGGTTTGGCTCAGGGCTTTATAATGTTTTGGTTCAGTTTGTTTTGTGCGTATTTCGGGCCGTTTTGGAGGGATCGGGGTTCAGTGTTATTTTACAATTCCTTCATCCTGGCCTCGTAGGGCTTGTGGGTTGCCTGCTCCTTGGAGAAAATGTGGGTTGACTGTTGCCTTCGCCTGACGTGGCAGACTTGGAACAAGCAATCTGGCCCTTGGCCTGAAGCTCCTACACCGCCCCGATCCATGAGACACTAAGCTCAGGAACCTGTGTGCCGCGAGAATCATCAAGCAGGTGTCAGATGGCGTGAAATGCTTGCACAAGGCTGCTGTTGTAAGGGGCTGAGAGGATGTGAAATTCAGGACACAGGTTTAAATCATGGCAACTTCTTTTGCGATATGCTAGTCATTTGTTAGGCCTGCAGCTGTCAAGCTGTAATGCCCTGTGCGCCCAGTGCGAAGGAATGGATGAGGGGAAGCTCATGGGTGGCAAGCCCCAGACGCCCAAGCCGAGGTTAGAGGTAATTATATATATATATAATATATATATGTATATATATATATAATATATATATATACACTCTAGTGTAGTATAAAGTTATATTTTATAAAATCTACTATAATGATATACTATTGTATTAAAATCATATATAGTATAGGGACGTACCAGGCAGAAGGCGCAGGTCTCGTGGATGCAAGCGAGGCCGACATTGACTGGCAGGAACATCGGCGGTCCATTTCAAGAAGCACTACACACTGGAGTTTCATATGGGGTTGTTGCCATCCTCTCCTCCAGCTAGACCATCCAGAAACCTGCAGGAACCCAAGCCTACCCAGACATGTTAGTCAGCTCTAAACGCCCAAACTAGCACGGCAGAGAGCCAAAATGGTGTGGTGTATCTCCGGCTTTCGAGATTACAGGCCCCAACAACCCCTCACGATGCACCTCTGGCAGGCAGGGTACATCCACGGAGACTTGAAGGCTGACAATATCTTCTACAAGGAGAGATATCTTCGGAATACAGTGGCGTGTGCGTGTTTCGGTGTTCTGTTGAGGGTTGGGATGACGCATGTTCGAGTTGGGCTCTATGCGACACAGATTCAGGGTACTGTCACGTTTGGCTTCTGGCTTGGCGAACTTCCTGGTGTGGTTTAGGATCTGCCCCGGCGTCCAAGAATCTGAGGAGCTGGACTCGGAGTATTGCCCGTCTGGCGTGGTCCTGGCGGACTTCGGACTGTCTCAAAAGATCAACACCCTGCTACTAGGCTCTGTTGTGCATTGGCTGAGGGTTAGTAGGGCCTGAGTTGCACAGAAACGGACAGTTTTTGTTACTGCTGGCCGACCAACAAGCAGCCGAAGCTTCGGATGCCGATGCCACAGATAAGGATGTACCAGTACGACGGGTATTACTACCGCCACTCCACCCACCTTCCTTCGAGCCTCTTCATCGGACACCGCGACACCTTGAACATCAAAGTTCCACACCACAACCAAGTCTATGTGAGGGAGGACATTGACATGTGCCACGGCTCAAGCTGGATCCTTTGCAGCCCCCAACTCGCGAAGCTGAGTACTACGCCGAGAATCAGTCGGAGATTGACGACACAAGCCCCAAGCCCACGGTCATGGTGAGGGGCTGATCATGCTAGTGGTGGTGTTGGTGCTGATCGTCATATTCGTGGTAATAATGGTAATGGTAAGAAATGAGAATGCTATTACGTAGTATTATCATCATTGGCGTAGTAGGAGTAGTGCAGCAGTAGTCGTGGTGGTGGTGGAAGTAGGAGTAGTGATTGTCGTCGTTGTCGTCGTCGTCGTCGTCGTAGTAGTAGTAGTAGTCGTCGTCGTCGTCGTACCTAGTAGCAAGTAGTAGGAAGTAGTAGTACTTGGTATTTCAAGTAGTAGTATGTAGATAGGAGCAGTAGTAAATTGTAGCAAGTATTGGCAAGTAGTAGTAAGTAAAACTAAGTAGTAGTAGGAGTTGGAATAGAAGACGTAGTCGTTTTGGTAGAATGATAATGGTAGCAGTCTTAGTAGTAAGTAGTAGCAAGTACTGGTAGT